TTAATATAAACAGGAATTTTTCTGGTTGAAGTAGACTCTTAGTTCAATACAAGTCATATCTTGAACTATTTTCTTGAGTGGAATGCCATTCTTGGTACAAAATATTTATAGATCGCTCACTAAATTGTTTCAAACATAAGTGAGTGAGTGAGTGAGTGAGTTAAAATTTACAGTCACATGGGCAGTATTGTCTCTATAAACCGCCGTGTTTGATGTACGTGAGATGAGAGAAGCATGGACTTCTGCGGTATTCAACACTAACGTAATTACAGACAACTCACCAGCAATTTGTAAAAGGTAAAGAGGTCAAAGTTCAGCAGCTGCAGCCTGAACCCTGTTAAAGTTAAATATACATACGATCAATATAGAACAGAGGGATGCTGGGTGCATGTAGTGGGACAATATATCTGTAAGGTAATGTCCACTTCCTCCAGACCTGTGACTTCGTAGCTCCAAATGAAGTACGTCTGCATTGTGCACACTTTCATTGTGCAAACGTCCACGTCGCATGTGTTGTTTCTCAATCAAAGTGGTCGCTTATCAAATGTATGAGACTGGTAGACTACGTCTAAATCTTCAGCACACAGGTCTTGGAGGGATGTTTCGGGTACAGGACTGTTACGCACGAATGGATGGGTCCCACTTTTACCATTGTCCTTGCATAAATGACTAAAACAAACACGCAAATCGCCACTGAAAATGGAGGAACCTGACCTTTTTGTTGAACACACATTTTGTAGTGCTGACAACTACGGTCGTATGAAATTATCACTATTAAAGACGACATACAATCCTCAAGAAATCGCATACGTATCAATAACCCAGTACTATGTATCGCCGGCAATACAGAGTGGGTCTGGTTGTCGCGGTGGCAGGTTTACAGTCAGTGATGTATCGCCGGCCATACAGAGTGGGTCTGGTTGTCGCAGGGGCAGGTTTACAGTCAGTGATGTATCGCCGTCCATACAGAGTGGGTCTGGTTGTCGCGGTGGCAGGTTTACAGTCAGTGATGACAACTAGTAGTCTAGGTGACATACCAACATGACAACTAGTAGTCTGGGTGACATACCAACATGACAACTAGTAGTCTAAGTGACATAACAACATGACAACTGGTAGTCTAGGTGACATACCAACATGACAACTGGTAGTCTAGGTGACATACCAACATGACAACTAGTAGTCTAAGTGACATACCAACATGACAACTAGTAGTCTGGGTGACATACCAACATGACAACTAGTAGTCTGGGTGACATACCAACATGACAACTGGTAGTCTAGGTGACATACCAACATGACAACTAGTAGTCTGGGTGACATACCAACATGACAACTAGTAGTCTGGGTGACATACCAACATGACAACTGGTAGTCTAGGTGACATACCAACATGACAACTGGTAGTCTGGGTGACATACCAACATGACAACTAGTAGTCTGGGTGACATACCAACATGACAACTAGTAGTCTGGGTGACATACCAACATGACAACTGGTAGTCCAGGTGACATACCAACATGACAACTAGTAGTCTAGGTGACATACCAACATGACAACTAGTAGTCTAGGTGACATACCAACATGACAACTAGTAGTCTAGGTGACATACCAACATGACAACTAGTAGTCTAGGTGACATAACAACATGACAACTGGTAGTCTAGGTGACATACCAACATGACAACTGGTAGTCTAGGTGACATACCAACATGACAACTAGTAGTCTAAGTGACATACCAACATGACAACTAGTAGTCTGGGTGACATACCAACATGACAACTAGTAGTCTGGGTGACATACCAACATGACAACTGGTAGTCTAGGTGACATACCAACATGACAACTAGTAGTCTGGGTGACATACCAACATGACAACTAGTAGTCTGGGTGACATAACAACATGACAACTGGTAGTCTAGGTGACATACCAACATGACAACTGGTAGTCTAGGTGACATACCAACATGACAACTGGTAGTCTGGGTGACATACCAACATGACAACTAGTAGTCTAGGTGACATAACAACATGACAACTAGTAGTCTAGGTGACATACCAACATGACAACTGGTAGTCTGGGTGACATACCAACATGACAACTAGTAGTCTGGGTGACATACCAACATGACAACTAGTAGTCTGGGTGACATACCAACATGACAACTGGTAGTCTAGGTGACATACCAACATGACAACTAGTAGTCTAGGTGACATACCAACATGACAACTAGTAGTCTAGGTGACATACCAACATGACAACTAGTAGTCTAGGTGACATACCAACATGACAACTAGTAGTCTAGGTGACATACCAACATGACAACTAGTAGTCTAGGTGACATACCAACATGACAACTAGTAGTCTGGGTGACATAACAACATGACAACTAGTAGTCTAGGTGACATACCAACATGACAACTAGTAGTCTAGGTGACATACCAAAATGACAACTAGTAGTCTAGGTGACATACCAACATGACAACTGGTAGTCTAGGTGACATACCAACATGACAACTGGTAGTCTAGGTGACATACCAACATGACAACTAGTAGTCTGGGTGACATACCAACATGACAACTAGTAGTCTAGGTGACATAACAACATGACAACTGGTAGTCTAGGTGACATACCAACATGACAACTAGTAGTCTAGGTGACATACCAACATGACAACTAGTAGTCTATTGACGTACCAACATGACAACTAGTATTCTAGGTGACATACCAACATGACAACTAGTAGTCTAGGTGACATACCAACATGACAACTAGTGGTCTAGGTGACATAACAACATGACAACTAGTAGTCTATTGACGTACCAACATGACAACTAGTATTCTAGGTGACATACCAACATGACAACTGGTAGTCTAGGTGACATACCAACATGACAACTGGTAGTCTAGGTGACATACCAACATGACAACTAGTAGTCTGGGTGACATACCAACATGACAACTAGTAGTCTAGGTGACATAACAACATGACAACTGGTAGTCTAGGTGACATACCAACATGACAACTAGTAGTCTAGGTGACATACCAACATGACAACTAGTAGTCTATTGACATACCAACATGACAACTAGTAGTCTGGGTGACATACCAACATGACAACTAGTAGTCTAGGTGACATACCAACATGACAACTAGTAGTCTAGGTGACATACCAACATGACAACTAGTAGTCTAGGTGACATAACAACATGACAACTAGTAGTCTATTGACGTACCAACATGACAACTAGTAGTCTAGGTGACATACCAACATGACAACTAGTATTCTAGGTGACATACCAACATGACAACTAGTAGTCTAGGTGACATACCAAAATGACAACTAGTAGTCTATTGACGTACCAACATGACAACTAGTAGTCTGGGTGACATACCAACATGACAACTAGTAGTCTAGGTGACATACCAACATGACAACTAGTAGTCTAGGTGACATACCAACATGACAACTGGTAGTCTATTGACGTACCAACATGACAACTAGTAGTCTAGGTGACATACCAACATGACAACTGGTAGTCTATTGACATACCCAAATGACAACTAGTAGTCTAGATGATATACCAAAATGACAACTAGTAGTCTGGGTGACATACCAAAATGACAACTAATAGTCTAGGTGATATACCAAAATGACAACTAGTAGTCTAGGTGACATACCAAAATGACAACTAGTAGTCTAGGTGACATACCAAAATGACAACTGGTAGTCTATTGACATACCAAAATGACAACTGGTAGTCTGGGTGACATACCAAAATGACAACTGGTAGTCTATTGACGTACCAAAAATGACAACTGGTAGTCGTGATGACATACCAAAATGACAACTAGTAGTCTGGGTGACATACCAAAATGACAACTGGTAGTCTAGGTGACATACTAAAATGACAACTGGTAGTCTCGAGATCGCAATACCTCCCTACTTATATGACTAAAAATACGATTTGCACCACACCGTGACGTGTTTTAAATTACTCTTGAAATGGTCCATGTGAATCTCTCATCAAGTGGATTGTATTCCTATATTCCGACCAACAGTAGGGGCACAAATATCCGAACGCTGCGAGCTCTCAGTTTTGAGATTTCTCTGTACCACTCACAGAAGGACATAGGAATATATATAGGAATATAGTACAGTTCTTTTATTGACGAGGTTAAAATACTTATGTAATTATTCAAGCATTTCCTAGACACACATTTGACATTTTCTTAACAATTTTACTGACTTACATTGTTATTGTTGCTGTCTGTGAAGAGATTATATGATACATAAACGATAGCAAAACAAAAGTAATAACATATATACTCACACGCAAAAGAAACGCAAGTTTCTTACTCAAAGGAAGAATTAAACTCAGACGTCTAAAATTATAACAACGTTGGTAAATAATGATGGTTGATGGTGTTGTTAACACTTTCTGTTGCGTTTTGCAAAGCCAGTGTGGGAACAGAAGAAAAAAGACGAATCGCCAGAACGCACCGCTTCAATGCCGATGTGAGCATCATACACACTTTCCTCATGCAATCAAACATGCACGAGTTGTTACCATCTTCAGTGGGTATCAACTTGAGAGGAACCAGGCTATCTGACGGTGGGAAGCTGGAGAGTCTGTCCAAGATGTTGCCCGTCACTTTAATATCAACATAACCACGATCTACCGTCTCCAGTATCGACACAACACAACGCAGACTACAGATGATCTTCCCCGAAGCGGCCGACCTAGGGTCACCACCCCTTGACAAGATCGACACATTACACGTCAACACCAGCGAGATCCTTTCCTGACAGCAAGCCAGACTGCTCGAGACACCATAGGAACGCATAATCGACGCATCAGCCGTGACACTGTCATCCGACGTCATCATTCCAACAACCTACGATGTTGCCGACCAGCACGTCGTCCTGTCCTCCAACCACGGCATCGACAAGCACGACTTCAGTGGGCACAGGGTCATCAAAACTGGCGTCAGCGTGAATGGAGACGTGTCATATTCTCTGATGAGAGTCGGTTTTGTGTGTCCCATGCAGATGGAAGGGTCAGAGTTTGGCGACGTCAAGGAGATCGTTTTGCTGACAGAAATGTTTTGGAAAGGGATGCATGGGGTGGACCTAGTGTCATGATTTGGGCCGGAATTGGACCAATGTGCTTCCAGAATGTGGGTCAAGGTCGAGGACATGGGGTCACAACTCAGCGTTACATTGACCAAGTCATCAGACCCCACTGTTGCGGTCAAATGCTTTAGCTATATTTAGATTGAGATCATGTGATCTAGGATAAGTCACATGACTGTAAAAAAGGGGAGATAACTTGGTTACAGAGGCATGCAATGTTGTACAGTTTCAGTGTTGCAATGCGTTTTTTCAACCGGCAACAGCAGAAGTGTCAGAAAACAGTGTACTGGGATAACACAGAATAAAGGTTTGCTGTGTTGGAACCGTGGGAGTTGTTAATCGATGCAGGCATTTGCAGCGGTGACAAAGTGGACTGCACATGCAGTTTGACAGCGCACGTGGTGTTAAGTTAAGTTTGATATTTCGCATTCTAACTTCGGATATTATAATGACAGTTAATAATTTTGAAAGAACAATGGATATTGCTGTGGAATATTGACTTAAAGTGACTTTATCTGTATCTTCACACTTCGCACGTGAATTTCGTGCCTTTGACCGGAAGTGACAGCAAGAGGTTTGTTTACAAAGTGGCAAGCACGTTTCAAATTTAAATATTTTTGTCTCGCCGCGCACAAGTTTTTCAACAGTTTTATGCAGAAATTAGCAGTTTTGAATGCGACATTTACCTATTTTGTGAATAACTGTATTGTTGACTGATAATTTGTGTCAACATGTCGTCTAAAGGTGCATATGCGCTACCAGAAAGGAACATTGAATGTAAGGAAGACGATATGTCAATCAGATCAAGGACTTTGTCAGAGAAAGGACGTTTGTATAAAATACAGAGATTGAAGGAAGAAAAGAGTAGACTCTGTTGGAATGTAACAAAAGAAAAGAGCATTATTGAATATTTGCTGAAGAGTAATGTTGAAGTGTCAGATATCCAGGAACATTATGATAGATGGAAGGATAAATACAGTGCTTTTCTTCAGTCATATGATTCATATTGCGATATGCTTACACCAGAAGTTGTTGATGCAGATGTTCAGTCATGGTTTGCTATAAAAGACAGTATGTTTCGTAGTTTTAAGGCTGATATGGAAGTGTGGATAGAAGACAATTCACAGAGCCTTGAAAAGGTTGAGAAGGCTAGTGTAGCAAGCAGTCAAAGAAGTCTGAAAGCAAGAAATCTTCAGGTCAGGGTTCAAAAGATTCAGTTAGGAGTAGTGTGTCATCTGCAAGAATGAAGATGGTAGCCCAGCTGGCAGAGTTAAAGGCACGTTCACAGTGTCTTCAGCAGGACATGCCTTGGAGGAGGAAGAACAGCATCTAAAACAGAAGACAGAAAAGTTAGAGATGGAGACAGAATTGGCAGTTGCTAATGCTCAGGTAGAAGCACTTGAGGAATTGGAGATTACAGACAGTGTGAGTAAAATGAATCGCAACGAACAGTTGAACATGTTTAAGAGTGGTAAATCTATTCCTCCATCAGTACTATGTCCAGACTTGTGTACCGAATGTGCTTCAGACACAAGTGTTTAAAGATGTTCCACAGAATACAGAAAATGCCACCATGAAGATGGTCATTGAGAATCAGCGATTAGCTACATTACCAGAGCGTAAAGTTCCTGTGTTCAGAGAAGATCCTTTGGATTTTAAGACATTCATCATGGCATATGAACATTGCATAGGAAGTAAGACAGACAGTTTCAAAGATAGACTTTATTATCTGGAACAATATACAAGTGGAATGCCAGGGGGAATTGGTGCGTAGCTGTATTCACATGGAGCCTCAGCAAGGCTACACGAGAGCTAAACAGCTGCTTCAGACCAAGTTTGGAAATAAGTTTAAAGTAGCTACAGCATACACAGAGAAAGCTCTACAATGGCCGCATATAAAAGCTGAAGACACCCAGTTAACACAAAACATTTTCGAAACATTTTCATAAGGTTTCAAAATAGTTTTTCAAAAACATTTTCGTCAAAATGTTTTTGGAACGTTATAAAAATGTTTCACAACAAATCATAATGTTATTGAAATGTTTTCAAAATGTTATTCAAAAACGTCATGCTATAACATGGGTGAAACTATTTCATAACATGTCATTGAAATATTTTTAAAACGTTGCAGAAATGTTGTGCACTAACATGTTTGATGAAATATTGTCATCACGTTTTAAAAACATTGGGGACACATATGCCATATCATACAAATAATGACTAAATCTCTCAAAATGTTTTTGAAATGTTTTCAAAATGTTGTTAAAAACGTCATGCTATAACATGAGTGAAACTATTTCATAACATGTCATTGAAATATTTTTAAAGCGCTGCAGGAATGTTATGCAAGAACATGGTTAATGAAATATTGTCATCACGTTTTAAAAACATTGTGCACACATTTATGCCATATCATACAAACAGTGTGCGAAATAGCCACTGGCCCGGTAGCCCATGGCAAGTTAAAATCCAGTCGGGCCAGTAAATCTCCACAGTCAATGGCCTGACTGGCAAGTGAATTTTCATTGGATCATTTTGTAATTATATCACTCTCTCCGACTTGTTAATTTATAATACACTTTTGACTCATGCAAGATTATGGCCTGATAAAAATGTTCATCATATTAGCAGCTTAATGATGAAAGCCGTGCCATATCATACAAACAATTTGTAAATCTCTCAAGAATACTGAAAATGTTTTTGAAATGTTTTCAAAATGTTATTCAAAAACGTCATGATATAACATGGGTGAAACTATTTCACAACACATTAGTGAAATTTTTTAAAACGCTGCAGAAATTATGCAAGAACATAATCATACAAATAATGTGTGAATATCTCAAAAATACTGAAAATGTTTTTGAAATGTTTTCAAAATGTTGTTCAGAAACGTCATGCTGTAACATGGGTGAAACTATTTCATAACATATGATTGAAATGTTTTTAAAACATTGCAGAAATGTTGTGCAAGAACATGTTTAATTAAATATTGTTATCACGTTTTAATTACACTGTTTCTGTTGTAACGTTGGTGTGACATAAACAGTACAAACACTGCAATCAGAAACAATATCTCACTCACCCACGTTCTAATGTATGACTTGTCATTAAAGTGCTCTAAAACGTTCCTGAAATGTTTTAGCCGGATCAGTCATCACATTTAAAATGTTTGTTTTTTTATTATGACTTGTTCTTAAAAGGTTTTTGAAATGATATCACACCTACACGTTTTGATAACATTTTTAAAATGTTGCGACACAATGTTTTATTGTTACCGCGGGAAATGACATCGGAATGACGTCACCCTTCACGTCATAATTTTGCACCCGCCATCTTAGTGGAAGTTTTTTCAGGACCCTACCTTTTAGACGTAGATATCCGACGTGGAATCAACGTTGAAGTTTGACCTATTATCAACGTTGAAAAAAGGTTGTATATGAAAGTTTTTTAGACGTAGATATCCGACGTGGAATCAACGTTGAAGTTTGACATATTATTAACGTTGAAAATGGGTTGTTCCGTGGTTGTGTCTGGGAGGTATTACGCTTTCCTGTAAATAGACTCGCACTTCATCTTTAAACTACACTAAAGTAGCACCAAACTCATGCATCCAGCTAAAATACCCAAAAAAGCTACCTGCAATAAACAGTGTTCAAACATAAAATTGCAGTAAAAATATTTACCTGATAAAATACTTGGTTAAAATTCCACATTCAATATCATGTTCATTTAAGTTTTATGTCAGTTGGACGTATATTTCCAGTAAGAAGAAAAGAGTATTCCAAATTAAGAAAAACTATTTACTGTTGTATTGTTATCTTGAAAAGGTGGAAATTGTCCCGAGAAGACATTTTGTCTGAATTTCAGCTATTAGACAGACCCCTGAACAAACACAATGCAATTACTTTCACCATGAAAGGGATCCAAGATGAACAGGAACTATACCTGAAGACAGCACATAAAACCAGTCACTTTTTATGAAATCTTTATGAACACAAACGCACACAGAGAAACGTGGTTTAAAGCATAATGTAAAACATCACACATGACATAGTCTGTAGGTGATCTCTGTTGTGATAATAACACAATGTCATCTGCATATAGCATTAAACTGACATACAGCTTCTCTTCTTTCTGCCACTCCCTGCCTGGCGGTCAGGTAGATACTTCAGAAACGTTCCTAACTCTTTCTTGAAATTTACTTCGGATGCATTCCCATCTCATTCCCATGAGAAAGGACACATTCTGAAATTTTATATTTAAATACATGAATAATTTTATATGGAAGATATATTGTCTTAAATGATTCAAGTATTTGTTTAATCAATCACTTGACAGGTTCATTTCACTGCTGTAACTTGCCAGGTGAACATATGAACAGCATCAATACAAAATGTGACGAAAAATGTAAACAATTTATATTTTCAACTAAAGGAATGGAAGTTTTCTTAAACATTTTCAAAGAAAATCCTCAATTGCAAGTTGATTATTCAATTAGACTATGAATTAGGGTGAATTAGACGATGCTTTACTGTCATATATTATTTGCTATGGTCATGATGAAAATGCTGCATTTGGTAATAAAATTACCAGAGATGATTGAATACAACCTTGTATTCTTAAAAGAAAACTTGCCGTTTTGCCCATCAACATTCATTCTTGACATCAAATTGTTTGACATTGTCCTGCAAAACAATGGGAGATTGTTGTTATTCCGTCAGATTTAGTTTTCTTTAGAGATTCTTGGAAACGATTATTTCAAATTAAATAGGAGTTGTACTGATGTAGCAATTTTGCTAACAGGAGTCATAAATTGTAACAAAAGCCATTTACATTAAATGATAAGAAAACAATATGGGTGGTGGTTCACAGGTCAAAGAACAAGTCTATTGTGGGAGGTCTTCCAAAACCATTTATTCCCAAACACAAGGAAGTATGGATCATGGAGTTCTGAAAACAATAATGAGCTCTCATAAGTATACAATATATTCCCTATTATCTACTCTGTCTCTCTTTGTCAT